TGGCTGCCTACACACAGCACACATGGATACGAGAAATAACACGTGCTAATGCACCCCATTAGACCCGATAGGTCTGAATGGACCCTTACAGAGAAGACAATATTGTAGCAGAATAGGCAGGTGGCACATAGGGTACAAGTGTAGTAGTGGTGGTTAGTTTACAAAGCGGTGATAGTGAAAGACATAGTGACAGTTTAGAAAATACTGGTTTGATAGTGGGACCTAAACTTTTCCTAATATAAATATTCGGGCTGCCATTGCTGATATCATTTTAAAAATAATAGGAGATTGTTGTAGGATTTTTTTCACATCTCTTCCTCTGGTGACAACTCTAACATTTTGAAATTTTTCTCACTTTCTATCTTGATGGTCGTCAGGACAAATAGAGTAGGCCAATATTCTCAGCCGAAACATTTGACATAGGGTCGGAGCTATCTCCACCCTATCCAAAATTGTAAAAAAAAATAATAATTTTACAAATATTTAAAAAAAATGTTTATTTATGTTGTATTGTTATTTATATTATGTTGCAAAATTCTTATTATGATATCAGTGGAAGATGGGGTCCTGATTATAGCCCTCTCACAACAGCATACTTTTCCAGGTTGTAAATATGAGGGAGGGGGGGTATAGTTGTACCAGACAGTCACGAGATAAGGGCTGACCATGGTACCAATTTGCAATATTAATTGAGGAAGCCATGTTTGGACTTAACAAAAGAAAAAGAACTGTTCACGATGATTTTTTTTCTCATCAACATCTGGAAAAAAGTTCATATTAAAATGTACCTTGTATATGGTGTTATTATTATTTGACAGGATTATTTTAATCAAAATAGGTTACTCCAGAACCTATTTAAAGTGGAACTAAAGTCAAGAACAAAAATGTAACTTACCAATCATTGCATGTATTGACTGCATTACTATAGTTTTCTTTTTTTCAAGCCTTTATTTTCATCTGCCAGGTAACAAACTATGTTACAAGAGGAAATCAGAAAAACAAAGACTGCTATGTTACTGTATCATATATGACATTTATTATATTTATGCCATAGGGTCACTTTAATTGTTATATGACAATGTTCTGTTAGTATGTGATTCATAAGTGGTTGAACACTTTCAGCCTGATAACGTCTTTTTCATGCTCTAGTCCCTAATGATACAGTTGATTTTATTTTACATATCCAGCTGTAAAGGGATTAAACTGGTTTTGTACAGCTGCTGCCTTCAGTAACTTCTTCCTCCTGTATTCTCCCTGAATCATCATCAGACCTCATTATCAGTAGGTCAACCGACCTTTACCAACCTGCGTAACTGGTGCTGGGGCACACCTGTACAACGTGACTCTCTCCACTGAACAGGAACACAAAAGGAGTTTCCTCTTGTTACAACTTGTCATTTTCATGGGTCAGCACTTCTTGCTGTTACACCGTCTTTTTGAATTTTTATCTGCTTGTAAGCGTATTTTCCCCACAACTTTAAAGTTCATCTCCATCCAAAATCAATATTTTAATTTTGTTTCCTTAAATTGTAGTTATAAACCCTTACCATAATTCTGAACTTCTTCAGCTACTACCACAGGGTTGTGTGCTCAGCCCAGCCATGTTTGCACATGATTGTAGTCCAGCACAAGTTATACACAGTAATGAGACAACGTATAAGGATGACGTCCAACATTTAGTTGAGTGATGTGCAGACAACTTCACATTTAGCACTGTAAAAACTAAGAAGATAATTGTGTTCTATAGGAAATGCAAGAAGATCATTCATTCCTTATTGTATATAGGTGGAGAGGAGGTAGAGGTTTTGGAGGTGGAGGTGGAGGTTTTTCGTAAAAGGTCAATGCAGAAAGTGCAAGAATATCATTCAATCCTCATTGTATATACACTGCTCAAAAAAATTAGCACAGTCTCAAGCACATGGGGGAGATTCCAGGACACAGGCAGTTACTCTAGGGAAGCTGGTCAGGGCTGTAGAAGGTCCTTAACCCATCGGCAAGGAGGAATAGAATAAGCACTGCCAGAGCCCTACAAAATGATCTCCAGCAGGCCACTGGTGTGAATGTCTTTGACCAAACAATCAAAAACAGACTTCATGAGGGTGGCCTGGGGGCCCAACAACCTCTAGTGGGCCCTGTGCTCACTGCCCAGCACCATAGAGCTTGATTGACATTTGCCATTGAACACCAGAATTGGCAGGTCCATCACTGGTGCCCTGTGCTTTTCACAGATAAGTGCAGGTTAACCCTGAGCACATGTGACAGACGTGAAAGGGTCTGGAGAAGCCATGGAGAATGGTATGCGGCCTGTAACATCATCATCGTATCATTCAGCATTACTGTTTTGGTGGTGGGTCAGTGATGGTCTGGGGAGGCATATCCATGGAGGGACGCACAGACCTCTACAGGCTAGACAATGGCACCCTGACTGCTATTAGGTATCAGGATGAAATCCTTGGACCCATTGTCAGACCCTACACTGGTGCAGTGGGTCCTGGGTTCCTCCTGGTGCACGACAATGCCTGGCCTCATGTGGGGAGAGTGTGCAGGCAGTTCCTGGAGGATGAAGGAATTGATACCATTGAATGGCCCCCACGCTCACCTGACCTAAATCCAATAGAACACCTCTAGGATATTATGTTTTGTTCCATCCAACACTGCCAGCTTGCACCTCAGACTGTCCAGGGGCTCAGTGATGCTGTGGTCCAGATATGGGAAGAAATACCCCAGGACACCTTCCGTCATCTCATTAGGACCATGCCCCAACATTGTCAGGCATGCATACAAGCATGTGGGGGCCATACAAACTACTGAGTACCATTTCGAGTTGCTGCAATTAAATTTCAGCAAAATGGACTAGCCTGCTGCATCATTTTTTCACTTTGATTTTCAGGGTGTCTTTGAATTCACTCCTCTGTAGGTTGATCATTTTCATTTCCATCAAATCTCTCATTGAGATCTGATGTGTTTTTCACAGTGTTCCTTTCATTTTTTTGAGTAGTGTAGTTGGAGAGGAGGTGGAGAGTGTGGATAACGTCAAATGTTATGATAAAGTGTATATAACTATCAGAACTATTCTGTGCTCACAAAATTAAACTGTAAGGCCTGAACCTATCATCTCTACATAATGTAACATGGGCATGCAGGAAGTCATTTTGTTCTTCAAGCTCTATTTTTCAGGGTTTCTGAACAAAGACTTTAACATCAAACATTCTCAGTTTCTTACAGTATACTTTCCCAGGTTGTACATTGGGGGGGGGGGGGTATAGTTTTACCAGACAGTCATGACATAAGGACTGACCATGGTACCAATTTGCATTATTAATTGAGGAAGCCATGTCTTGGACTTAACAAAGGACAAAGAACTGTTCACGATGATTTTTTTTCTCATCAACATGTGGAAAAGAGTTCATAATAAAATATACCTTGTATATGGTGTTATTATTATTTGACAGGATTATTTTAATCAAAAATTCAATTGTATTATCATTATTATTGAATGAGGTGAATACTTGCCCAATTAAGTAATTTGGGTCTTTATATTATTATATTCAATCTCTCTCTCTCATCTATCTCAGGAGGGATTTTGGCCCACTCCTCTTGGCAGATCTTCTCCAAGTCATTAAGGTTTGGTGGCTGACGTTTTGCAACTCAAACTTTCAGCTCCCTCCACAGATTTTCAATCGGATTAAGGTCTGGAGACTGGCTAGGCTATTCCAGGACCTTAATGTGCTTCTTCTTGAGCCACTCCTTTGTTGCCTTGGTTGTGTGTTTTGGGTCATTGTCATGCTGGAACACCCATCCACGACCCATTTTCAATGCCCTGGCTGAGGGAAGAAGGTTCTCACCCAAGATTTGACGGTACATTGCCCCGTCCATCGTCCCTTTGATGTGGTGCAGTTGTCCTGTCCCCTTAGCAGAAAAACACCCCCAAAGCAGAAAGTTTCCACCACCTTGTTTGACAGTTGGGATGGTGTTCTTGGGGTCATAGCATTCCTCCTCCTCCAAACACGGCGAGTTGAGTTGATGCCAAAGAGCTCAATTTTGGTCTCATCTGACCACAACTGTCAGGATTCTAGGTATGACCAGAAGTGTGTGGACTGACACAGGGAAACGCAGGCTTCAGGTATAGTAAACAGTATAATTTATTAAGACTAACAATACAAAAACGCAGTGCAAAACTAAACATAAACACAGTGCAAACAAACCAAACCTCCAACAGATAACAATACATACAATACAAAGAGTAGTCAGGCAGGCCGGGTCGGTAGCAAACGGGCAAACGGAGTACCAGGAGCAGGCGGGAGAGTGGTCGGGGTCACAAGCTGGGTTCAGTAACTCACAGGCAGCACGGTACTGAGGAGCAGGCAATAGGATGGTCAGGCAAGCCAGGGGTTAAACAGGAGACGGTCAGCAGAGGTCAGGATCAGGCAGGGTCGGGTAACAAATCAGACAGGCAGAGGAACAGGAACACAGGATACAAGGTACAGGGGCCCATGGGAAACACACACCAAGGCCCTGATTGCAGGTCTGGCCATTCCTTATATGCACCTCCTGCAATCAGCCTCAGGTGTTTGGCTGATTTCAGGAGTGAGCCTCTGGTTGCTGAGAGCATCCGCTGGCCAGCCCTGGTACTGCAGCCCACAAGGCAGGTGAGTCCCACCACTATTGGCGAGTCCATTCCTGACAGTAACCCCCCCTCAAGGAGCGGCCTCAGGACGCTCCCAACAGTCCTTAGTGGGCAAAATGTTCCACCGCCCGGGTCCGGTAACTGGCGGGATATCAAGGACTGGCACATCAGGCTGCGCAGCAGGTGGAGTCACTTCAGGCTGGGCACCGGACGGAGGCACATCAGGCTGGGTACGGACAGAGGCACATCAGGCTGGGCACCGGACAGAGGCACATCAGGCTGGGCACCGAAAGAGGCACATCAGGCTGGGCACCGACAGAGGCACATCAGGCTGGGCACCGACAGAGGCACATCAGGCTGGGCACCGGGCCACCAGACGGGGCAGCGGGCACCGGGCCATCAGGCAGAACAGCGGGCACCGGGCCATCAGGCGGAGCAGCGGGCACTGGGCCACCAGGCGGAGCAGCGGGCACCGAGGAATCTAGGAGAACAGCAAGCACTGAGTCACCAAGCACGACGGTGGGCACCGAGTCACCAAGCACGACAGCGGGCACCGAGTCACCAGGCACGACAGCGGCCTCCAAGTCAACCGGCACGACAGCGGGCTCCGAGTCACCAAGCTCGACAGTGGGCACCAAGTCATCTGGCAAGACAGCGGGCTCCGAGTCATCTGGCAAGACAGCGGGCACCGAGTCATCTGGCAAAGACAGCGGGCACCGAGTCTATCTGGCAAGACAGCGGGCACCGAGTCTACTGGCACGACAGCGGGCACCAAGTCTACTGGCACGACAGCGGGCACCGAGTCACCAAGCTCGACAGCAGGCACCGAGTCATCTGGCAAGACAGCGGGCACAGAGTCATCTGGCAGGACAGCGGGCACTGAGTCATCTGGCAGGACAGCGGGCTCCGAGTCAACCGGCACGACAGCGGGCTCCGAGTCACCAAGCTCGACAGTGGGCACCAAGTCATCTGGCAAGACAGCGGGCTCCGAGTCATCTGGCAAGACAGCGGGCACGAGTCATCTGGAAAGACAGCGGGCACCGAGTCACCTGGCAAGACAGCGGGCACTGAGTCAACTGGCACGACAGCGGGCACCGAGTCTACTGGCACGACAGCAGGCAGCGAGTCTACTGGCACGACAGCAGGCACCGAGTCACCAAGCTCGACAGCAGGCACCGAGTCATCTGGCAAGACAGCGGGCACCGAGTCATCTGGCAACAGCGGGCACTGAGTCATCTGGCAGACAGCGGGCACCGAGTCATCTGGCAAGACAGCGGGCGCCGAGTCATCTGGCAGAACAGCGGGCATCGGGTCGTCAAGCTCAACAGCGGGCACCGAGTCACCTGGCAAGACAGCGGGCACCGAGTCATCTGGCAAGACTGCGGGCACCAAGTCATCTGGCAAGACAGCGGGCACCGAGTCATCTGGCATCAGGACATCTGGCCTGACAGCGGGCACTGGGTCATCAGGCATCGGATCGTCTGGCTCGACAGCGGGCACCGGGTCATCTGGCTCGACAGCGGGCATCGGGTCACCAGGCATGACAGCAGGCACCGGTTCATCAGGCACGACAGCGGGCAGTGGGTCATCGGGCATCGGGTCATCTGACTCGACAGTGGGCACCGGGTCATCTGGCTCGACAGCGGGCATCAGGTCATCTGGCATCAGGTCATCTGGCTCGACAACGGGTACCGGGTCATCTGGTTCGACAGCGGGCACCGGGTCATCAGGCATTGGATCGTCTGGCTTGATAGCGGGCATCGGGTCACCAGGCATGACAGCGGGCACCGGGTCATCAGGCATCGGGTCATCTGGCTCGACAGTGGGCACCGGGTCATCTGGCAAGACCGCGGGCACCGAGTCATCTGGCAAGACAGCGAGCACCAAGTCATCTGGCACGACAGCGGGCACCGGGTCAACTGGCACGACAGCAGGCACCGAGTCAACTGGCACGACAGCGGGCACCGAGTCTACTGGCAAGACAGCAGGCACCGAGTCATCTGGCAGGACAGCGGGCACGAGTCATCTGGCAAGACAGCGGGCACCGAGTCATCTGGCAAGACCGCGGGCACCGAGTCATCTGGCAAGACAGCGGGCACCGAGTCATCTGGCAAGACCGCGGGCACCGAGTCATCTGGCAAGACAGCGGGCACCGAGTCCTCTGGCATCAGGACATCTGGCTTGACAGCGGGCACTGGGTCATCAGGCATCAGATCGTCTGGCTCGACAGCGGGCACCGGGTCATCTGGCTCGACAGCGGGCATCGGGTCACCAGGCACGACAGCAGGCACCGGGTCATCAGGCACGACAGCGGGCAGTGGGTCATCGGCATTGGGTCATCTGGCTCAACAGTGGGCACCGGGTCATCTGGCTCGACAGCGGGCATCGGGTCATCTGGCATCAGGTCATCTGGCTCAACAGCGGGTACCGGGTCATCTGGTTCGACAGCGGGCACCGGGTCATCAGGCATTGGATCGTCTGGCTTGATAGCGGGCATCGGGTCACCAGGCATGACAGCGGGCACCGAGTCATCAGGCATCGGGTCATCTGGCTCGACAGTGGGCACCGGGTCATCTGGCAAGACCGCGGGCACCGAGTCATCTGGCAAGACAGCGAGCACCAAGTCATCTTGCACGACAGCGGGCACCGGGTCAACTGGCACGACAGCAGGCACCGAGTCAACTTGCACGACAGCGGGCACCGAGTCTACTGGCAAGACAGCAGGCACCGGGTCATCAGGCACAACAGCGGGCAGTGGGTCATTGGGCATCGGGTCATCTGGCTCGACAGCGGGCACCGGGTCATCTGGCTCGACAGCGGGCATCGGGTCATCTGGCATCAGGTCATCTGGCTCGACAGCGGGTACCGGGTCATCTGGTTCGACAGCGGGCACCGGGTCATCAGGCATTGGATCGTCTGGCTTGATAGCGGGCATCGGGTCACCAGGCATGACAGCGGGCACCGGGTCATCAGGCATCGGGTCATCTGGCTCGACAGTGGGCACCGGGTCATCTGGCAAGACCGCGGGCACCGAGTCATCTGGCAAGACAGCGAGCACCAAGTCATCTGGCACGACAGCGGGCACCGGGTCAACTGGCACGACAGCAGGCACCGAGTCAACTGGCACGACAGCGGGCACCGAGTCTACTGGCAAGACAGCAGGCACCGAGTATCTGGCACGACTCGAGCGGGCACCGGGTCATCAGGCGGGGGCACCGAGTCATCTGGCAAGACAGCGGGCGCCCGAGTCATCTGGCAGAACAGCGGGCATCGGGTCAAGCTCAACAGTGGGGGTCACCGAGTCATCTGGCATGACAGCGGGCACCGAGTCATCTGGCAGACAGCGGGCACAGAGTCATCTGCAAGACCGACAGCGGGCACCGAGTCTACTGGCGGGCACCGAGTCATCTGGCAAGACAGCGGGCATCATCTGGCAAGGCGGGCGCCGAGTCATCTGGCATCGGGTCATCCGGGTCAAGCTGGCTCGACAGTGGGCACCGGGTCACCTGGCAAGACCGGCAGGCACCGAGTCATCTGGCAAGACAGCGGTCATCTGGCACCGAGTCATCTGGCACGACAGCAGGCAGGCACCGAGTCTACTGGCAACAGCGGGCACAGTCTACTGGCAAGACAGCAGGCACGAGTCATCTGGCACGACAGCGGGCACCGAGACATCTGGCAGGACAGCGGGCACCGAGTCATCTGGCAAGACAGCGGGTGTTGAGTCATCTGGCAGAACAGCGGGCATCGGGTCAAGCTCAACAGCGGGCACCGAGTCATCTGGCAAAACAGCGGGCACCGAGTCATCTGGCAAGACAGCGGGTACCGAGTCATCTGGCAAGACCGCGGGCACCGAGTCATCTGGCAAGACAGCGGGCATCGGGTCATCTGGCATCAGGACATCTGGCTCGACAGCGGGCACCGGGTCATCTAGCTCGACTGTGGGCATCGGGTCACCAGGCACGGCAGCGGGCATCGGGTCATCAGGCATCGGGTCATCTGGCTTGACAGTGGGCACCGGGTCATCAGGCATTGGATCGTCTGGCTCGACAGCGGGCACCAAGTCATCTGGCATAATAGGACCCTCAGGCTGGGTAGACACATCAAGCTGGGTAGGGTATACTGGGTCATCAGGCATCAGGGTATCAGGCTGAATTGCGGCCGCCGGGGCACCAGGCTGAACCACGGAAGGTGGGTTCTCAGACGGCAGGCTGACCGGTTTGGATACTGGCAGGATGGTATTGGTTGGAAAGAATTTTCGCTTTTTCCTGGTTTTAGTTACTGGAGCACAGGAAGTAAGCGCAGGTTTGTAAGTGGATAGAGCAGCTGTAGGCAGAGAAGATCTGAGGGATGGAACAAAGGAGGGAGCAGTTGCTACAGAGGACTTCTTTACAGGGTTAAAGAAAGGATAGGTGCAGCGAGTGGGAGCAGGAGACTGATATGTGGTAGTTAGCAGAGTATACTGGACCGTCACTGGGGGTGCTGTCGGGGATGCAGGAAGAGTGCCTTGAGCAGAGAAATGACGTTGCAAGCTGACTGAGGCTGGGTGCAACAAGTCTGACCATGTCTGCAGTATGGGTTGAACAAAGCTCAGCTTACACAAAGCCTGTCTGGTCAAAGACTGCACTGCGTTTATACAATCTCTTAGTACCTGTTGTGAACATGCAGAATAATGCTCCAGAAAGTAATCCACATCATCCTCCAATAACCATACCAGGAACTCTACCTGGTCGGCACTAAATGGCAGCAAAAAGTCATCCCTGCTTTCGGGGGTACCAGATGAAGCCAACTCTGCACAAACCTGAATCAATGGTTGCACCTCAGAGAAACTCTGTGCCCTGATCTACTAGGCAATGAGCGATCCTTATGCACTCTAGTAGTTGATCCCTGGTATATTCCTTCAGAGTCTGATAAGCATAATTTCTGTCATCAAACACTAGCAGAGACAAATACACCACCTCATCAAGATGCATCCTTCCCAGCAACAATAAGCCAAGATGGCTTCCCTGTGCAGCCACTTCTGGTCAGGAATGGCCTTGGTGTAATGTCAGGATTCTAGGTATGACCAGAAGTGTGTGGACTGACACAGGGAAACGCAGACTTCAGGTATAGTAAACAATATAATTTATTAAGATTAACAATACAAACACGCAGTGCAAAACTAAACATAAACACAGTGCAAACAAACCAAACCAAACTTCCAACAGATAACAATACATACAATACAAAGAGTAGTCAGGCAGGCCGGGTCGGTAGCAATCGGGCAAACGGAGTACCAGGAGCAGGTGGGAGAGTGGTCGGGGTCACAAGCTGGGTTCAGTAACTCACGGGCAGTGCGGTACAGAGGATCAGGCAGAGAATGGTCAGGGTCACAAGCCAGGTTCAGTAACACACACCAAGGCCCTGATTGCAGGTCTGGCCATTCCTTATATGCACCTCCTGCAATCAGCCTCAGGTGTTTGGCTGATTGCAGGAGTGAGCCTCTGGTTGCTGAGAGCACCCGCTGGCCAGCCCTGGTACTGCAGCCCACAAGGCGAGTGAGTCCCACCACTATTGGCGAGTCCATTCCTGACAACAACACTTTCAACCGGTCCTCCTCTGTATCAATCAGATGTTCAGTGGCAAACTTCAGATGGACCTGGACATGTGCTTTCTTGAGCAGAGGGACCTTGCGGGCACTGCAAGGATTTCAATCCTTGTTGGC